AAAAAAAAAATCATAAATGCACTTGTTGTGCAGTCCAAAGAGTCACTCAGCTTTGTACAGATTGACGTTGCCAGTTGCATCCAGCATTGCACAGTGATCTTTCCTTACTGTGCTTTTCAATTCCACCTGAGCTCTGAAGTTCAAAACCTAACTTAACATTACGTTTTTGGCTGCCGTTAGTCAAAATTCTGGCAACAATCAACTAACTTTGAAAAAAGCAACAAACAAAATGGACCAAAATCAACCAATTACAACCCACATAGGTGACGTTTTGAACTCATTGATTAGTAAACTTCTTTTTCCTGAGAGTTCTGCTAAGATGATCTGACAGTAGCAAAACAAGGAACTGTTGATTGAGCGGTCTTTGCATGTTATATTGGACAACATTATTATTTGACGTGTAACTTGACCTGATCAACTGGAGGTGATCAGAACATGCATATACAGTGTAAGTCACGGATACAATAATACATGTACAATATGTTTTGTTAATTCTCACAAATGGGTTTTTTCAGAATTAATTTACATCTAGTYAAAAGGAAATAGAATAAATTTAAAATGACCAATTACATTCATGAATATTAAGAACACGGTGATGGGTGGATGACTTATAAAACATTAAAATTAAATAAACCTATTAAATTATCATGTATGTGACTGTTGTGGACTTAAAGCTGCTAAAACAAATACAACATTAATTTTGTATTGACAGTGTTGATGATGATGACATAGATGACAGTGACAGTTACATGTATTCAATATCTGTTCATTATTTTGTTCATGGAGCAATGGCGAATTTGACCAACGAGGTTTCTATTGCTCTGTCAGGTGATTGCCATGATCAAAGGTCTTTATGGCTTGATGATTCGCCTTGAACCACAATTTTCGGAGGCTATCAGACATTCCATACACAGTGAAGTACAGGATTTTGTTCAGGTCAGCCTGAGGGAGCCTTTGAGGAAAGCTGTTAAGAGCAAGAAGGCTACCGGTACCCTTCTAAAGACGTGAGTGAAGTATCATTATTTTATCAATTGAACCTACATGGATCCTTTCATAATAAATTCATGAACTCAAGGAAGTGTATGAGAATAAACAGCAGTCTCTCAACAACAGGTTCTGTTGAATGTGCAGCCAACAAGTACGTGTAGACAGTACAGTAGTTTGTAATATTACCGGTGGTTGTGTCCTCTGTAAAGAACCTTGAAGTAGTGATAAGTTAATAAAGATGGTGAATTTT